CTGTAGAAAGACATATACCTTCCCTACTGTGTATGATTTCCTTAGCTTCTGAAAGTCTACAGGGAAAATTGTCAGCATATTATGTGCACCATCTTCCCATATTTTTATTTGATAAAGGGTTGTAGACCATTTATGACCTTTGGTACATTTTCAAAGCATTGGAATATCTGTATTAACATATTTTGTAGAAAGGCACTTACCACCTCATTCTTGTACAATATAATTTGCTATATTAATATTGAATCATCATTATCTACATTTCTGGTGCTGTATATTATGTCTTTGAATTGGAATGCATTCTTGTTCTGATGTAATATGTTCTTGTACTAGGATAATCTTTTGGCTTGATATAACACATTTTTGTTCTGGTGTAATATGTCCTTGTACTAGAATAATCTTTCAGCTTGGTATAACATATTTTCTGTTTGGTGTACTACACCTTTGACACTAAGTTCCCTTAAGAATATCTTTTGCTGAAGCCTTCCACTTATGGCCTTCTTTACACTGCCATTCAAGAGGATCCCATCTATTAACATACTCAATTGCAAGGCAAAGACCTTTTTCTTTTCTGCACACTTTCTCATATCTTCAATTGTTTGAGTATGATGATTTTCTACTGCATACTATGAGCACCATGTTTTTTCATTCTTTACACTAGTAAGCCTTGCAGACTATAAATGATCCTTAACACATTTCTAAAACATTGACATCTGACAATTGATATATCTTTCAAAGATACATTCATCTTCTCTGCTATGTGCAATCTTTTTAGCAACATCCAAAGTTAATTTTACTATTAATATTTTACACTAAATTTCAAAAGGCCAGCAGAAAGCATGCTATTATTTTATTTCATACTTTATTTCTCCCTTTAAATGAGATCTACTCTAATATCTTTTATTAGTTTCATTTTTTACTTAGCCAGCTGGCTCCTTTCTTACATATTATTTACAAAAATATAATAAAAATTTTACTTTGAGTTTTTTAAATGTGTTTCGTGTTTTATAAGTGATATTAATATTTATTTATTTTTGTATTCTACATGATTTATACTATAAAAAATATAAAATGTACTATACTAATGAAAAATCTTATTCCTGTTGCTCGTCTAACCCTTTACCATAATTGATGGTAATATTGATCACACTCACATTTTACGAAAAAGAAGGGGTATTTGGGGTTACAGATCTGGAGTTAATAGGTATTTTAACAGATAGTGTCACTGGTCTTGACGCTAGAGAAAAAGTCTTGAATAAATCTATAATATCTGATATTCTAGTGCTTAATGAGCGAGATGATGAACTCGTCCCACTTTTTCTTCTAATACTCTCATTATATTGTTGATCAAAGGATAGTTTTAATAAATTAGATTGTGTTAATAAACAGACATGAAAAAATATCTTCTACAGAAATATACCAGGCTTTAATCAGAATAACGTTGAAAACTCTTTATATATTTTCTCCCAACTAAGCTCTTCTTGTCTCTGATACCTTCTCTATTTCTTTTTACTGTCTAATAAATTAGGATAAATCAAACTCAGTTTTCCTAAATCTTACATAAAATCCAAGCAGGAGTACTTACATTAAAGCTTTCGTATGATTAAATTTATCTTTATTATTAATTTATTATTGCACAGATATTAATTAACTATTCTTTAAATTAATTATAAAAAATTAAAAGAAATAAGCAAAAGAAGCAAGAAAGAAAGTGAAAGCTTACTGAATCTCAAATTATTGAAAGATAGAATGATGAAAAAACAGAAAAATTATTATTATGTTTAGAAGACAATTATGAAAAACTTCAAATAAGCAAAAAAGTTATCATGTATAATTTAATTTTTACTGAAATCATTAAAACAAAATCTAATACTAGTATTAAAGGTAGAATTAACCATTTATTAAAGAAGTATAAATGAGTAAAGAAAAAGAATAATAAACAGGTTCTGAAAGAGTTGATTAGAAATAGTTTGATATAATAGATAGAATTTTTAGATATCATGAAAATATTAAACCTTTTTTCTTTCAAATAATTCAAATAGAATATATTAATAATAAAGCAAAAAAGGAAATCAAAACTACAAAAAGAAAAAAGAATTCTGTAGAATCTTTGGTTGATATTATGAATAATATTAATCAATCAAAGAATAGATTAGCAGAATAAAAATTTAAATTGAAATGAGAAAGAATAGATAGAGAATTTAAATTATAATCAAAAATATTAGAAATTAAAAAGAAGTATAAAAGAGAGCAATCATGTATGTAACATGAGTTATTTATGAAAAAATTAGAATTATAATTAACACAAGCATAAAATAAGTAATAGAATAACTATTTAATTATAACAATCAAATATAATAAAATTTAAATATATAAATTGAAAATTTATTAGTTTATAAACTTTATATAAATTATAATGAAAATAATTTTCTCAAAATCCAATTTCTCTTTGCTTTTACTCTTTTTAAATTTTTATTACTAATATCATTAAAATTATTATCTTCATTACTATCATTAGTAATTTCATGATCCTTTTAATAGATATTTTTCTCAAACTAGCAAATCTATTTTTTATTCTATCAAATGAATGTTTAATAATAATTTTATGTGATAAAAAATACAATTAAATTCTGCTTGAGTTTCATTTAGATTACTAAATAGCTTAAATAAAAAATGATGATAAAAGATAAGTACTATCTCTAATTAAAAAATCATTTCCTTTAATTAAAGCTGATTTATTAGAATAAAAATAAGAATTCTGATATACTTTTGCATCATATACACTTTTAGGTCAACTTACATTATAACTAATAAAAATATCTTGATGATCAACTATCCCTTAACAATCAATGTAAAGCATATCTTTTTTTCCTTATAAAATAAAGATATTTTTCCTTTTATAAAGTATTTTGAAAACAAAATAAGTTCTATATATAGCTTCAATTATATTTTCAATATTCTCAATAGCTTTAAATCTAGAATAAATAAAATCTCTTTATTGTTCAGTAGACTATTTAACAAATTGTGATTTATTTAAAATAATAGCTTTCATTACTTGTATACAATATCATATCACAGTCCCTTCAGTTATTATATAATGTGAACATAAAGAAAAAACATTTTTCTTTGATCTCAATCTTCTTAAAAATACAGCTAATTAAAGTTTCACAAATGCTGTTAAGTTATATAATTTGAATGAAAAACTGGATGAATATTAAGTAAGTTAACCAATGCTTTAAAACTTTTTAAAAACATTCTCATTATTTTTTTAAATCTTCTATCATCATAAGAAGGTAAAATATAATTGTACCAATATTGAGATTTGACTATATTATATATACGAAGTTCTAAATAATAAATTTCATTTAAAGCTAATAAACTAAGTATAAAAATTTTAGAGATTTTATCCTGTTTATCATTAAAACCTGTATTATCTTATTTAATTTAAATAGTATATTTTCTATAAGTTTCTCTTCTATAATTCTTTGCGTATATACAATATATAAAAGAAAGATATAAAAGTTTGATCTAAATTTTGATCTAAAGTAATTTAATACAGCATATAGTCAACTCTTGTTATAACGAACTCTATGTCCTAGACCTCAACTTTGCTATAAGGCTATAGTGAGATTTTAAGAGATTTGATTGGCCAATTCGCTATAACAAGAGTATTTTTATTATATTTGTTCAAAAAATTCGTTGTATCAAGAGTTCGCTATATCAAGAGTTGACTGTAATAGACATTTGTTATATCACATAATGATAAAATCAAATGTCAATCTTTTTTATATTATGTAATATTTGATTTCAATTAATTTAAAATAATAAAAAAAGATTAATAATATTACAAAAATTAACCTATCAATGCGTAATTTTTTTACATTGATATATCATTTGTTCCTTTCTTTATATTTGAATAAAAAAAGATCTGAAGATCTCTGCTATTAAGAAAATTAGATGAGAGCTAAAATTTTAAGGTTAAAATTATATATATTACAATATATTTTATTTAATAACTTATATTTTACTAAGTTTTTACAAGTTCTAAAGTATTATTAAAGTCTACCAATATTTTTCTACTGTTTTTTTATATTCTTTATATTCTTCTTCTTCTTCTTCTTCATTATTATTATCTAATATTTCATCATCTAATAAGCTATAATTAATATTATCATCTTTTTCTAATCTTTTATATAGGATTTACATTAAATACAACATCTTTTTTATAGAATTCTAAACAATAATTACACTTATTATTTTATTCTCAAAACATTGGTGATAGAAAGCATGTCTACATATCAACATTATGCCTTCTTCTTTATCTAAACATTTAAATTTTTGATTACAATAATCACAAATATTATAAGATGATATTAATTTCACTTTCTGATTTAATGTTGATAGATAATATTCATTCTTTTTAATTTTCTTACTTTTTTCTAAATTTTTAAAGATTTGATAAAAGTAATTAATAAAGAATATACTTATTTTATATTTTAATTGTTAAAAAAGTTTGATCATATGATTTTAATACAAATGCTTGAGAAATAATAGCATTTGAAGAATGTTGAGAAATTGTATTTTACTATGCCAATTTTCAACATAATAATCATTAAAATTAACAAAATAAGTTTGATTTGCTTCAAGAAATGGATGATTATTATAAAATATCAGAAAGAAAAGCTAATAGAAAAAAAAAGTCCGACCGCCGATCTTAAAATACTAAATGATCGGTATGAGAACCATTTTTTTATAGTTGTGTCGCCTTATATATAAAAATATATAAATTATAAAAGATTAATAATTAAACCAAATTCTTCAAATAAAAGGTATCTAATAAAAGCTATTCTTTTTTTAAATACCGAATTAATATTACATCATTTATATAATCCATTTTTTTTTACTATGTTTATATTTCTAAATATCTCCAATTATATGTCAAATGATATTATTAATAGTAATAATAATTTATTTTAAAGTTTATTATTAATAAAAAATATATATTAATCTTCAAATTGTTTTGTTAACTCCATTATATCTGAAAAGAAAAAACAAGTATGTTATAAATCCATCAAACACAAAATAAAAAAAATAAAAAAAAAACTTTAATTGCAATTATAAATAAATAATTTCGTTTCAAAAATCATACCTTCAGATTTATCTAACCACCTTTGTCGCTTACTAACCGGTAATTTTCCATATAGAATGCTCATCTCAACTTTCTCAACATCTTTTATACTCCAGAGTCGTTCAGGTTGTCTACGTTTTTTCTCAATAAAATGTTTAAAATATTGATCATTTTCCATCACAACATCACCATCTTTTATTACTAACGAATTCATTAATTCACCACATTCACTACACAAAACACCGTGACTTTGTGTGTGAGTTAGTTCTGATCCACCTGCGGCTTTCGCTGAGCTGGCTTTCTCTCCACATTGTGAACATGCTTTTATTCGTGACGTAGTAGAGATGCGTTCCGTAACCGCTACGGGATTTGATGCACCAAACGATATTGGCGTAGTTGCAGAGGTACTAAAATTTATGGATTTTGTTGATTGTGTGGAAGATAAATTATTATGATTTATAGATTGATTAACTGAAGAATGTTTTGTAGTGAAATTTGCGGATAGTTGTCGTGTATTTCCTGATGTCTTATTATGTTTTGCTTTCATGGTTCGCGAGGTTGGATTTCCCGCAATTGGACCAGAATTCTAAAAATAAATGTACCACATTTCAGAAAAAAAATTTAAATAATACCCACTAGTATCGCATCCTTGAATTTCTTTGACTTACTTTCCTGGTTGGACCACCAATGCTATTTTTTCGTTGGGTAGTCCCACCATTTTCTCTTTTCTGTCCATCCTTTTTGTTGACATTCGCATGATCTATTACAGTTGAATTTATAACTCCAATAAGTAAATTCAGCATACAGCATAGTCAGTAAATATTAGACTCCAACACACCGTTATTAGAACTATCTTTTCTTGCGTGTCGTTTCGTATTTCCAAAAGATTTAGTTTCGTGTACAATAGTTTCAGTTGGATCTTCATCGTTTATGTATGGTCCATCCGATCCAAACTGATGGTTCGCGTTAATACCATTACCGGAAGAACCAACCACCATGGCCGTACTACCAACACTAATATTATCTTCTTTATGAAGCCATTTGAAAGATTGTGGTATAATACCTTTTTCAAAATAAAGTGTAGCCAACGTTACGGCCTTGTCTTTTTGAAAACTCGATGCATTAGGACCTTCCATATATTTAGTGTATGGATCACATTTTGGGTCGAAAGGAAGTTGATCCTTTTCTGGTACGATTGAAAATGAACCATCTTCGAAATAACAAACTACATTTTCTCCTTCAGCTGGGTATTGTACATCATAGTCCATTCTTTGCTTGAATATTTCGATTTCTTTAAGTGGAACCACCTAAAACATATTTCGTATTTAATTAGCTGTTAAAAAAATGTTTTTAAATAACAGATCTAAACTTTACCAAGGCGGGCCACCAATGTGGTGCTTCGGGGTCATCAGGATCTACAAATACCACTTTTCTTCGTAGGTGTTTTGGTTCGTTGACTCGCTTGTTGGTTCTGCTTTCCATATCTTCCATAATGACTTTTTATGACGATCTTGACAAATAAACATCGATGGCATGTCGTGTGACATCAAATCTTTTCCAACGGTATAAAATGTCAATACGATATTCAAACTCTTTTTTATAAAAACAAATTAATTATAAGTTTTAAAATAAACAAAGATGGCGAGCTGGGAGTACCCTACTCATAAAACATTTCCCATTGTTCCCCCGCTTGAAGAGGTGGAACAAAATGATCGACCAGGTGGGAATAGAATTCTTTTTTCTTTGTGCATTAATATAAGCTAATTTTTATTGAAAATAAAAATATTATTTGTTGAATAGGTATTATGGATGCACGAGAACAAAAGATTCGAGAAGATTGGGTTAAATTGATGGAACTTCGATTACTTCGAGATCAAATGAAAAGATGTTATAAGACTGAAGGCGTTAATCATTATCAAAATTGTAAAGAGTTGAGTGAAAAATATTTGAGTCTATTGGAAGAGAGTAAAGTTAAAGGGTTTAGAAAACTAAAAAATTCCAAGTCATCATAAATTAAAAAGTAGATGAAGGTACTCCCTCTAACCAAAAGTATCAAAAGTACTTGGAAAATTTTATTTCAATTTTTAACTTAGGTTCTTATGGGTTTGTAAAAAAAAAATTTTAAATATTTTAACATGCATTTTTCAATCAATATAATAGTAACTAAATTTTTTTTTTTTTTTTTTTTTTTAAAGAATTAAAAATTTTAACGTTTTTAATTTTGTATATTATGGTAAAAAAAAAAAAAGATATAATTTTTGATTTTGTAATTTTTTTTATTTTAATATTACCAAAACTTTTAAGAAGTTAGATTTTAAAATAAAGTAATAGGTTTTTACAAATTGATATTAGTCTTATTTGAATAAATTAATAAAAATTACGTAGTTATCCGAAATTAAGCAATCTCCGAAAATAAGCAGCTCAAAAATTATTTAATATCCGAAAATAAGCAAGCTCCGAGTATTTTTAATTATTAATCAAAATTCATCTTAATTATAGTTAAAATAAACAATAAAAAGAGAGAATTTGTATTTTGCGTACCATGCACAAAAGTGCACCCCCATATTTATATATGTTGAAGCGGAGTTAGGGTTAGGTAGGGTTAGGATTAGGGTTAGGGTTAGGGGTTAATGCATCACACCCCTATGTGTTTCATTTTTACGGTTTATTCTGGGATTTAAAATTTTTTTTATAGAAAAATTTTATTTGTCATCTATTATATAACACACCCTAAATTTTGTGCAGGTGTGTAGAAAATAAAGACCCAAAAATATTAAAATTTTAAAATACGAATTATATTAAAATAACTTGTGCCCTGTCTATATCATTATTAATGTTATTACTATCATCACTACCATTACTATTACTATTACCATCATCATTAAAAGCATCTGAAAAATCTGAAAGAATCTTTAACTCTAATTCTGATTCACTAAGATCAGTTGAAATTATATAAAAGATTCAATTATAATTTTATCTGAAATTACTTTTCAAAAGCATTTAACCTATAAACAAACATCACTAATTTTAACATGATAAAGATTTCCTGCAATAGTTTTTCCTATATCATTACCTACTATCTAAATATGCTTTTCTTTGTAAAGGTTATCTTTAAATAGCTTATTTATAGAAACATTAAAAGGCTAACAAATGCTGATTAATCTACCTGTATTACTGTAAAATCAAATTATTTTTAACTAATTTCTCTAAGTAATTTTAAAAGAATCATAAATTAACATACAGTCAACTCTTTCTACAACGAATTTTGATATAACGAATTTTGCAATACAACGGATTTTCAGTGTCAGACAGAT